CAATGTGAGGCAATGTTATTCCGGCCAAATCTGAATCATCGAAAGTGATAACCTCGACTTCATGGGGCCATTTAGCCAAAGTGAGTTGCTCTTGAGAGTTAAACTCTGACTGAATTGCGTGCACCACCGATGACATTGGCAAGCTGTATATCACGTGGATCACGCGGAGCGAACGTGAATCCTGTGCCAAGGCTATTGCTTGGGTTGGGTTGCCTTTTAGAACGTACTGTTGTAGTCGGCCGTCTTGTACCAATTTATCGTCGTACAGGGTGAATGACGGTGCTTTGAATTTCTTGGGTAGCACTGCCTTTGCGATCTGTCACGGAAAAGGATCGTCTTGATCGTCATCCGAGCTGTTTCTTCTTTGCTTACGCCTTGTACGGGGACTCTCTTTAGAATAACTGGTAGTTTCAGATCGTCCCTTCTTCTTGAGCTCAGAGGATAATGATTCGGAGTTATTATCAGTATCTTCTTGTCAGGCTTGAGATCGTCGACTAGCTGCCCTCACGGGTCGTTTCGGGCCTTGATATGTAGCTTGTTTGGACTTCGCCACCTCCAAGGCCAAATCCTGACGGAGATGTTCGTTCTCTACAATCATGTTCTCCAATCTTTGTTCATTTTGCTATGCTTGTTCCAAGATTGCTTGCATTGCGTCGTGCTCTAAAGTCGAGGGTGAGGCGAAATTCAAGGCACGTCTTGCGGCGAGAGTCTCTGTTCCAAGCATGGTTGTTGGAGTGGTTGCATCTTGCAGTATAGGGTCGACAGTGACTGTCGGAGGATCTTCTGTCACGCTCGCCATGTATGTTCTTGAGTATTCCCACAGACGGCGCCAATTGTGGAGATGTGGTTTGGAAATACTCTTCTGATCCTGGAGAATGCTCGTGATCCTCTTCTGGTCACCTGAAAAGGAATAAACACTCCGGTCGGGGGTGCCGAAATTAGCACTCCGACGGGCAAGTCAGAATCCACACTCAGGAATGCTTGTATTCTAAGTTAAGCACAATAATTCTCACATACCTCTTTCTGGCTGATGTTCTTCTATTTATATCTTTTCTTCCATGAGCCTCAGGATTCGGTCCATTTCCAACTCATATTCGGCGCATTTTATACTAGATCGACCTTCACTCGGCCCCTGGCCTAATCGGTCAATTGGCCGAATAGAGCTGGATTTGAGCTTGCGAGCCAATTGCTGAGTGCTTCGAATCTCGACTCTCCGAGATTCGGCTATCCGGAATCTCTACGACTCCCTCTTCTCGGCCCCCACAGAACATAAAAGTAATGTTTAGGTCAATAACTATTAATTTGAAATGCTACCTAAGTTTGTTCCAAGAGCACAAAATAATTTCTTCTATTTATGAGTATATATATGTATAATTTTATTAAAATTACTTAGAATTATTGTATATAATAGTAGTGTCCTATTAATGAGTGTCTTCAAAATATTAACTAAAATAAATAAAAAAATGTGCATTTTTGTATGACAATGCCAAACTTGTTAATAAATATTTCACAACAACGCTTGTTAACAAAATCTATAATAATAACTAATAATATGTGCAACACGCTGGTTGTTATATTGAATGTGTGTGGATGTATTGATAACAATGACTACAATATTTTTTTTGTTAATTGAATAATCTGTTAATATTGGGTAAGGCTTTTTAGATGTTGGCCTCACATGTGCAATTTATTGTTTAAGGACTAGTGTTTTGATTAAGAAATGAAGATATGTACTAGTCTTGTTCAAGAGTTTAATTATGAGAAACTTTTTGCATGGCATTATATGTAAGACATCATTAAAAAAGAAGAAAAAAAATCATAAGAGGATGAAATTGCAATAATTGCGTTATGGAACACTGAAAAGTAATACTTTGTTTTTGAGTATTGAGAGATTATTATTATTGCTTGAGAAAGTTCAAAACAACTTGGAAATTGACAAAGATCATCATTGTTGAACTTTATATTGAAGTCATTCTTAAAGAATATAATTGGAGAATCATTATACAGATAGTATGATGGAGTTGCTTAAAAACATGCAAAGGTTCAGTACTTATAGTTAGGGATGACAACAGGACAGGTAAGAGTTATGGGATCTTTAGTCCCACCCCACCCTTACCCTGGTTTAATGAATATTATTCCATATTCGATCCTACTCGCTAGACTTCTCCCCCACCTTTGTCTCATTCTTGCTTATTTTAATCGTACTTTTGACTCTATCCGTTTAGTTTAACTTTAAAGCTTATATTTTTAGTAGTTGATTTTAATAATATGATTTTATAACTTTAGATGACAAATGACTTATAACAATTGGTATTGTTTGATATTGATCTTAGTAGAATTGTAGAGTGAAATTGCACAATAAAGAGCACAGAGATGTGATATTAACAAAAAAAAAATATAAAATAGAATGAAAAAAGTCTTAAAAATAATTTTGTATCATTAAAATATAATAAAAATATGTTAAAAATGAGACATTTTTTTAATAACACGCATAGTTGGGTTGAGGGTGGGGCGAGGTTATCCTTCCCCATACCCGACTATTGAGTCTTTTATTCTCACCCCAAACCCAACCCTACCCTATTAAGAAATCCCCAAATCCATTTTGTTGGGGCCGGAAAGGATTGGGGATCCATTGGATCAGGTGTTTTGTCATCCCTACTTGTGCTTTTTCTAGATGAAAAAAAAATTATAAATTCATTTCATTAATTAAGGATATAGTCACAAAATAAATAAATAAATAAAAATGATGCAATCTATGATATGTTTACTAGTCGGTGAAATTCTTTCAAAATTACTTCCCAAAAAAAATATGTGATCACAGGCCACTGTGTTTGGATAACTAACATCCGTAATCTTTGTAATTTGTATCTTGTATCAACTTGATCTTTACAGTTTTATTTGTGTCAATTTTATTTTTTAATTTTTCACGTAATGTTAATTTAGTTCAATTGATAACATCGTTAAAAAATTGAATAAAAATCAAGAACAAAATGTTCCATTGAAAAGTCAATGTACCGTTTCAAAGTAAATGGACTAACTCCTCAATCACTTTTAGGAGAATTAATAGACTATTTTGTTAATTGATTTTCATAAATTTCTAAAGGGACATTGTATTATCAGTTGGATTAAATTGATATAATGCAAAAAAATTAATTGTAAAATTGACACAACGGACAAATTACAAATACTACCCCTGATACAGTTACAACTATAAGAGCCAAATTAATATAAGAGACAAAATTATAAAAATTACCAGTATAATTGCCTTTTTTGTTTTATTATTTTTTTGTTTTGTCATCATTTCATTATTCAAGGAAAATATCAACTAAAAATATTGTGAAAATCATGTCCTGTCATGTTAATGGCAAACCAAAAAGGTGTAAAAATTATAATGTTTTTATTATTGAATCATAAAAAAGACAAATGGAGAGAACTAAAATAAATTTATGAGGAAAATGTAGAAAAACATATTGTCAAACCAACACTAACATAGATTATAGTGTGATAGTGGACTTGGATTCATTACATTGAAAGGGTTGTGCATGCTCTGTCAAAGTAAAGTGAGTTACGCCACCTTGGCTTTCAAGAGGTAACTGCATAAGAGTTGTTGACACATACAAACACCCTTTTTAAAGATAGTCATGCTCCTATCTAAAAAAAAAAAGGGGATAGTCATGCTAAAAACAAGTTATTGAACTATGTTAAAGGGGAAAATAATTTATTTTATTTTATTTTACAAACGATGTGGCATAAAACTAATTAATAGTATTAATTAAGATACAAAATATATATGTAGGCACTACAAGAATCTGCACTTTTCGCGACCACTTTTTGCGACCAATGTAAAAGTTGGTAGCTAAAAGTTATCTTTTGACGACCAAATATTAATTAGTCGCAAATGATCATTATTTTTGGCGACCAAATATTATTGGTCGCAGAAGGTTATATTTTGGCGACCAAAAAATGACTTGGTTGCAGAAAGTGATATGTTTTTACCGACCAACTACAAATTTGGTCGCGGAAGGTCACATATTTTTTGGCAACCAAAAATTTGGTCGCGAAAAACTTATTTTTAGCAACCAAAAAAAATTAGTCGCCAAATTAATACTTTTAGCGACTAATATTTTAGTCGCCATTGATTGAGATTTGGCGACTAAAATATTTTGGTCGGCGAAGGTACCTTTTCTGCGACTAATATGGTCTTTTGGTCGCCAAAAGTTTGGGAGAGAAATTTGATTTTTAATGGGGCGGGAATTGAAATTTTTTTGCGACAAATAAATTTGGTCGCCAATTTTAAAACGACGTCGTTTTGTACCATGAAAGCAGAGAAAAAAAAAAAAAAAACCTAATCACCATCGTCTCTATCTTGCTATGTCTCGGTCCGCCTCTCCCTCTCTGTGTTCTTTCTCTCAATCGGTGCCCACTCTCTCTAGCTCACCGAAGTCCCTCGCCACCGTTGCTCACATCCGTCGCACATCGCCACCGCCGCAAATCGCCATCGCCCTCTGTCTTTCTCTCACACAGAGGGAGCAATTGCTGGGTATTCGCTGCTGTGGTTGTTCACTACAACAAAAAGTGTCTTTGGAGACGAAAACTAATGACGAAAATAAATTTTGTCACGAAAGACGTACCTTTTAATGAAGAAAATAATTTTTCGTCTCCAAATGTACCAATTTTAGAGACAAAAATAAAATTTCGTCACCAATCTGCATATATAATAAAAAAATTAGGTGACGAAATTATTTTTCGTCATTATTTATATTTTTTTTGTCACTAAATATTTTTTCGCTAATTTTTCGGATGGTGCCAAAATTTTCAGACTTTTAGTGAAGAAAAAATTGATCACCAATAATAAAATTATTAATGACGAATATATTTTCGTCACCAATAATTTTTTATAATTTAATATTATTTAATGAAAAAACTATTTTCGTGACTAATAATTTTATTTTTAATGAGAAAATAATTTTATCACTAAATAAATGATTTAATTGCTAAAAATTTTTAGGGGGAAATGAATATATTGGGGCCTTTAGATATATCTGTTCCTCTCACACACAGATTCCAAACCTCACCCTACATGACCTCACCTCCCCCTTTCTCTTTTCTCACGCCTCACGCCTCTGTGTCTCTTCTCTCTCACGCCTCACGCCTCACGCCTCACGCCTCACGCCTCACGCTGCCCTCCTCTCTGTTACTAGAGCATCACCGCAAGGGTTAGATGAGCACAACGCAAGGGTTAGGTGAGCACACCGTAAGGGTTAGCACCACCGTCGCTTTGTCTCGGGTAGGTATGTCCTCTATTTCGCCCTCTCTCTCTTTCTCTCTCTGTGCGTGTGTGTGTGTCTCTCTGTCTTCCTCTCTTTGTCTCCTTCGATTTGGGGCTAATTATTTTCTTCATTTTGCTCACTATTTGACATTAAACAGGGGAATTTGGGGCTTTATTGGCATCAAACTGGAAAGGGTATGACCCTCTCCTAATTTCTTTTTCTCATGTTTTTTCTATTACTTAAGGGGATCGAAAAGGCATTGGTAGCATTATATAATGGGTTTTATTGGACTAGGATATGATTTTGAATATTGGTATATTAATTTGGGATTTGATTCCACAGTTTCTTTCTCTTCTGATCTTTTGGTGCTACATCAAGTTTTTTTTTGACCTTTGATAATGATCCTTTTGATATGTTTCCTCATTCTCACACATATTGGACTCCTCAATCACCACCGCCGTCTACGGCGCCGATTCTTTCCCTTCTTCTTTTAGCAAGTTCAATTCGGCTCTCACTGCTAGACTATTGAATCCCATGTCTTCACCACTACCTCCCTCCGACAAGGCCCGATCGAGCCCGACCCTTTTCGAAATGATGGCGAGCGAGCCCGATTCCATTCCCAGATCCCAACAGCGATTGTCGGAGATTTTGGGTTCTCGGAGTCCGGGAAGTCAGTTCAATGACCCCAATTCGAGCGAGCGATGTCACCAGAGTACTTGGATTGAAGGTACTAATAATCATTTGCACATTGTAGAGGAAACTATGAAGTTTTGTTGAATTTTTAGATTTATATGTTTGTGCCTATTTGTATGTGTATATGAAATGATGGGTTCATTGGCATATTGTTCTGGTGGGGTTTTATAGGAATTTGAATTATGTTTGATAGTCTTGTAATTTAGGTTTTACCTGCAATTGGGTTTGATATGCATGTGTTTATAATATGATAAATTAATTGGCATTTTGTTCTGGGTTGTTAGGAATTTGAATTGTGTTTCATGTTATTGTAATTTAGGTTTCAGCTGCAATTGGGTTTGATGCTGGGGTTTTGTCATGTTTGGAGTATGTAGAGGATGCTCCATGGGCTGAAGATGAAGAAGAGAAGGTGGCTTCAGTATGTAGCTAATGAGTATGTAGCTAATGAGAGCTTGGACAAGCTTCTCTTCAGTAAGTCCTCATCTGCTTTTATTTTATTTTTTTTAGGGAATAAACATTTAATTCTTATTTATGTAGAGTTGAAATTGAGACACCAAAATTGAATTATGGTTGTTATAGTAGCAATTAGTGACGAGTTTATTGAATTTTAGCTGTCATGGTTAGCTGCTAATTGAATAAACAGGTACTGTGTAGATGTATTGAAATTTAAGATATTGAATATGGTATGTTTCATCTTTTTAAATGGAAGTTCTTCATTAAATTGTTGATGGTGTCATAGTACCACTCAATGTTGCACTTTGCTAGACCTAGGGTGGTCTCAACTGCCTCATTCATATTCTCTGCATCTTGAAAAGAATCAAATCAGCTACTATGAGTATTTTCAAGAATCAAATCATCTTGAAGGAGTAGCCAATCGTTTCTTCCCTTACATTTGTGTTTTTTACTCAACTTTTTCCCCTAAAATGTTTTCCGCGAATATTTTATTGTATGGCTAAGGATGGTCTCTTCCAAATTTAATTATTTTCTCACTTTATGGGTGGAGGTCTTGCCCTCCCCAAACCCTGTTTTATATGATTGCCACATCACGGGGTGCAATTAATGATCCTAAGTTATAATTGCAGGTTTTGAGGTATGTAGAAGGTTTATGCTGGGTTTGCTGGTTCTACTACCATGGTGTCTACTCATGGCAATGGTCAGTTTTTGATTTAGTAGTAGTACGTATGTCAATAATGAGTTTTTGTAAAGACATTATGGCCAAAGAAGCGGTTGTACACCCATATTATGCAATATGCATTGCGTGGATTGGATGAGAAAACAGAGGATTTTGGCTCTGTGTCTAAATGGAAGTCAAGCAAAGCATCCTACAAATGTGCACTTTTATAGGATCTTATTTTCAAGATAACATTGGACCAGGTAAATATGAGCAAATGCTTAATCTCCATCCCACCACACAGATGATATATACACATGTTTAATTAAGGAGGCTTATGCCTATTTATCAACAAAAAAAATCAAAAAATTAAGGATGCTTATGCTTGGTACTGTTTTATGTTGTGTAGATTGCTGCCTTTCAGTGTACTTGCATTTAAACTAAATGTCCTGTTTTTGCTTCAAGTTTTATCCATATCATTATGCTAAATGTCCTTTCGACTAGCTAATGGGAACCTTGCCTGCTGCAAGGTCTGTATTACTTTCTCACTCTGTCTCTCTCTCTCTCTGCTGCTGCATTCAGTACTGTATGAGCTTATCAATTTCATGTTACAGTTCTAGTGCTCTGCCTGAAGAGTACAGGAGATTGATGACTGATCCAGCATCACCGATCCAAGAATTCTACCCTTTTGGTTGTATTACTTGAGTTTCATAGTTTTCTATTATTTCTTTTTTAACCTTTTTTTTTTTTCCGACACATGAATTTATAGCACACTATCTAAATTGTTAGTTAACTTATATTTATTATATAAATACCAGCCACAAACACTCAATGTGTTAGTTGGAAGCTTGTCATTGTGATGCTCTAAATTATCAGAGCCTCAAATTATTTTGGCATCATCTGACAAATGTTGGCGTATGATATAGGGCTTACTTTAGACCTATGTTGCTGTTAGATAGTTTAGGGTGGTGGTTTTAGCTATATATTTATATGTGTGGTGTTTAGTGGGTTTGACAGTTTGAGAGGCACTTAGTGGGTTTGACAGTTTTTGGACATAAATATATTCTTTTAGTTGTATTAGTCTGAGTCTTATTGGTTATGAGTCAAATTGGAAGAAACAACTTGTATTGATTAGCAATCATGTTTGTTAGTAATAGATTTATGTCTGATAGTTGTCCATCTTCTTTGTATGACAAATTTTGAAACCCGGTCTATGGCATGTTCCACCTCGTCCGATCTGTATTTATAGTGCAAGACGTTTGACCTGTGTTTATAGTATAAGAAGTTCATTTACTTATTCTTCCTTTATGCAAGGAAAGGAGCCCAATGTTATTGTCTTATTAACACTTCCTAATCTATTAGAAGACAGAACTACTTGACCTAACAAATCACATTCTTCCCATGTGCGCCGCACCGCAACCCCTTCTTTAGGTACCCTTTTGTTGGGGTGTATTGCAAATCTCACTTTATAAATTGTTATGACTCCTCTCTTTGTGTGTTTTTGTTGTGTATTGAATGTGTTTGATATGTGGATTGTGTGGACAAACTCAAAAATGGGTAGTGATGATAAACTCTAAATTTGGATCATTGGTTTTGGTGATTGTTTGATTGATGTACTTTTAGATCCAATTCAACACTAGTTGAAGACTCCTGAACTAATAGAATGAACTGGGTCAATTCTACGTGACATGTATCAATAAAGTTGAATTCTTTAACCATCTTTTGTGCCTTTAAATTGTTTCCAATGTCTGTTTTGGATTTGGCTTTGGCTAATTGGATGGTTTGGAGTATTTGGTGGTTCAACAAATGCCAAGGTACTTGTAGCTTCACTTACTGCATTAGAATCCATTTATTTCCTTTTATTTTTCATGTTGCTTTCTCTTACTTTTGAACAATTAACTTCAGACTAATTGTTACAAATGTTGTACTGAGCCCAGATGTTTTGCTAAATAGTCATATTTCAACACTCAAAATATATTGTAAGGATGCCCAATAACTAACTAATTATGGTACAAAAGCTTTTCCTTGTTCAATAGGATCTGATAAACCATACAAACCAGAGCCTCAAGGTGTTGATTTATCTTGATGAGCTTGAGCCGATGTTGAGAAGCTTGCTTTGGTTATTGACTAACATTGAACTTGAGAGAGGTTGATGTACAAGCGCCCAACTGCATTGCAAGATAGGACAAGGGATAGTGATGAGGATGATCTTAAAATCTCTTCAAATTTGAGGAAAAATATGACTGTTAGAAATTTGGTGAAACATTTGGTTCATATTTGATTTAGTAAAAAGAAAACCCACACCCATAAACACTCTCAATTCTAGACTCTTCCATAATTCAATATATAATTAAATTAATTAATTCGGCAACCTTTAGTCTTAACAAATCTTGATTAGCACACAATTTAATCAATCATAGCTAATCACAAATCCTACATAATTTAATTAGTCCAACTGACTTCAATTAAGACACAATTAATTATATTTAATTTTTATCAATCTGAATTAGATTTTTAATCAAGTTCCAATAGGCTTTAAATATCAAATTAAACTTATTTCCATCATCAATTTTGGTTTCTTAGATCTTTAAGGCCTTCGATTTCTAATCAAACCTAAAATCCTTGTCAATAAATTTCATATTCAAGTTGGATACTTCATAAATAGATTTAATTCATAATAATCATAATTTTTCAAACCTTATAACATAATTAACTTAATTAACTCCAATTTTTTGACCCAACTAACGAAATCTTGATTTTACTAAACAGAACCAAATATTAATCAAACTTCCAAATGGGTCTGTATTTAAAATTAAATTGATTCAACTTATTAATTTCACTTCCTTAAGCTATTTGGACCCTTAATTTCAAATTCCAAAATAAATCATTATTAAAATCAAATACAAATTAGACTCCAAAATTCTCATTATATTAGAGTAACAACCAATTAGAATCCAAATCTCCTTAATCAATTTAACATAAAATCTTATACATGATGTGGTTGGCTTAATCTAAGGTTTATGCTAATTAAACTTGATTAATTCATTACGAATTGAAATTTTTCCAAATTTTACCGCAGGTTCTAAAAATCACGCTAAACATAAACGAAAAGTTGGTTTTGGTTTTTGGCGCCTCTAAGGCTATAAATTCTCAGTTCAAAGCCCCAATTGCAATAGATTTTTCTATACTTAATAGATATAAATTCATAATCACATAATTAAACGTACAAATTCATATCAAACACATAACCATATGCATAATTAAGTATATTACAGGTTGGGTCATCATAACCCATCAGTCTAAGGATGATACACAGTGCTAAAGGCCAATCTCGTGCCCAAGGCGCTCTGTAGGCTCTGCCACAACCGAGCTGAGAAATGCAGATCTCTATCCGAAACAATCGTCACTGGAACGCCGTGCAATCTCACAATGTCCCTAATGTAAAGGTCGGCAAGATGATCTACCGAGTCACTTATGCGCATAGGTATAAAGTACGCTGACTTAGTCAATCGGTCAACTACCACCCAAATGACGTCACTACCCCGTTGAGTCCTCGGAAGGCTCATAACAAAATCTATCGTGACATGCTCCCTACTTCCACTCGGCTATAAGCAAGAGTTATAACAAACCCGCTGGCCTTTGATGCTCGGCTTTCACTTGTTGACAAGTAAGGCATTTTGACACAAACACGGCCACATCCTTCTTCATACCTCTCCACCAAAACTGATGATTAAGGTCGTGATACATCTTTGTGCCTTCCGGATGCACCACAAGACGTGAATAATGAAACTCTCAGAGTACTTCCTCTGGTAAGACTCTGACACGAACAAGCAATCACGGTATCTCACACTCGAGTCGGAGTACACGTTCAAGCCTCTTTTTACCTTCTCACTGGAGATTTTCTCCTGGAGAGATTCTATCTCAAGGCCACCATTTTGTGCTTCCATCACTCGGTTCACAAGTGTAGGTTATGCAACTACTGAAAACAAAGCTGCAGACTCAACAGACTAGCCAAGCTGCAAGTTAAACTCCCCAATAGCACCCAACATCTCCCAATCTCGGATAGCAATGCCAGCTACACTGCTAATTGATTTCCTACTCAAGGCATCGACTACAACATTGGCCTTTCTTGGGTGAAAATGTAGCTCGAAATCATAATCTTCTATAAACTCCATCCACCTAATTTGCCTCAGATTCAAGTCTTTCTGTGTAAACATATATTTCAGACTTTTATGATTAGAAAATACCTCAAACTTCTCACCATACAGGTAATGCCTCCAAATCTTCAAGGCAAATATCACCGTCGCTAACTCTAGATCTTGAGTAGGGTAATTCCTCTCATGTGTTTTCAATTGTCGTGAGCCATAGGCTACTACATTTCCCTCTTACATCAGAACACAACCCAAACCTTCTCGTGAGGCATCACAACATACCGAATAGCCCAAACCCCTCTCCAGAATAATCAATACTGGAGCAGTGGTAAGTCTAACCTTAAGCTCTTGGAACGACTTCTCACAAGTCTCATTCCACACAAACTTAACTCATTTCCTAGTCAATCTAGTCAATGGTGAGGCGAGCCTTGAGAAATCCTTCATGAATCTATGATAATACCCGGCCAACCCTAAGAAACTACAGATCTCGAAAGCATTCTTAGGTTGCTCCCAATCTTGCACTGCCTCTATCTTGGATGAATCTACAATCACCCTTTCCTCGGATACTACATGGCCTAAGAACTTATCTTCTTTCAACCAGAATTCACATTTTCCAAATTTAGCATACAGTTTGTGGGCTTTAAGTAACTCAAGTACTACCCGTAAATGTTCCTCATGCTCCTCCTCAAAGAGTGAGTAAATCAAGATGTCGTCCACAAAAACGACCACAAAATGGTCTAAGAACTCACGAAAGATCCGGTTTATCAAATCCATAAACACAGCTGGTGCATTGGTTAGCCCAAAGGATATCACTAGAAACTTATAATGGCCATACCGCATATGGAATGTCATCTTCGGGATGTCCTCCTCCCGCACTCTTAACTGGTAATAACCCGATCTCAAGTCTATCTTAAAAAAGCAACAAGACCACTTCAACTGATCTAACAAATCATCTATACGAGGCATTGGGTACTTGTTCTTAACAGTTATCCGGTTCAACTTCTGGTAATCAATACAAAGTCACAACACAAGATCTTTTTTTTTGGCAAAAAGAGTCGGTGCTCCCCAAGGTGAAGTACTAGGGCAGATAAAACCCTTATCCAACAGCTCCTACAGTTGAATCTTTAACTCACTCAAGTCGGCAAGTGCAAATCTATGCGGTGCCATAGAAATTGGTGCTGTGCCAGACACTAAATTAATAGAGAACTCGATCTCTCGGTGAGGTGGTAAACTGGTAAGATCCTTTGGAAAAACATCCGAGTATTCACAGACTACCCTTGGTAACTTAACTCAGACTTCATCACACTCAGTACTTAAGAAGTTAGCAAGAAGGCAACTAAACTCACTCTGCCCACGCGGATCATACACCGGCGATAAGACTCTACCAACTCGGTACCCCAAGAAAAAAAAGCAATCACCGCTCAGGATACATACAATAACCCTCTGGCGGTAGCAGTCTATAATAGCCCGGTATGATGACAACCAATTCATACCGAATATAACATCAAAACTAGACATATCAATCAACACAAATGCAAAGGGAAGTCGGCTACCGGCAATTTCTATGTCACAACCCCGACATCCCTGCTTCAAAACAATCTCACCACCAATAAGTGACTCTAGACAAATAGGAAATGCTAACTGAGCCAACTCTAACCCCAAAGCCGATACAAATGCAGACGAGATAAATGAATGGGATGCACCTATATCAATCAACACATTAGCAACTGAATTACAAAACAAGAAGGTACCTTTCACTACCGAAGGCACTGGTACTAGATCTGGCGTAGTAATAGCATACACGCGTCTTTTTGGTCTCTTCTCAACCTGCTTCCCCCTTGGAGCATAAGCCTGATGCACTGATTGAGCCTCGAGGCTCCCTTATTGGTCCTCGAGGCCTGTGCTGACTGTGCCGGTTGGTGGCTCTGGGTCTGTCTCGAACTAGACGCATCGGGTGTGCCACCCAACTGAGGGAAAAATCTCTTCATGTGCCCCGTCTACCCATACTGATAACAAGTGAGCAGTTGCCCTCTCCTCTGACTCTAGCTCTGAGAACGAGCCGAAGACGATGCAGACTGTTGTCCTCCTCCTCTCTACAGGCAAGCTGGAGACTTATGGCCTAACTGGCCACAGTTGTAACAAGTGAAATCTCCTTGACCACCTCTCCCAAACCCCGAACTCGGTACTGGAAAAGTGGGCCTCGATTGAGCTCCCTAGGACTATTGGGGATTAGGACCCCTCTATCTCTTGTTGTCCCCATGAACATCCTGACTCCTCCTAGAGCCCCTTATTCTCTCTTCCTTTATCTACATCATGGTCTCAAGATGAGCCGGCGACTCTACAAGTCGCCCGTAATCTCTAATCATCAAACCGACCACCTTAAAAAGAAGCCCGGTCCTTAAACTTTTCTCAAACTCCAAGCAACGGCGTTTCTTTGTCGCTACTAACTCTGGTGCAAACCTAGAGAGGCTAGTAAAGGCTACCTCAAACTCGGCCACCAGTGTGTTCAACTACTTGAGCTGAGAAAACTGATCCCTCAACTTCTCCCTAACAGTGGGAGGTAAGAACTTGTCCTGGAAGGTGTTGACAAAGGCCTCCCAAGTCACTCTAATATACCCACGCACATACTTCTACCACTAACCCACATCTCTCTTTAGTTGGAAGGATGCCAAGGTCATTCGTAACTAATCATCCTCGATGTCAAGCATCTCGAACGTTTTCACTATATGCTCCAACCACTCATTTACCTTCAGTGGCTCCTTGGGATCACCTAAAAACTCATCCGGATTTGACCGGAAAAACTCTCGCTTCAGAAAAGATGGCCCTACCTCAGTTACTTGGGCCTGGACTCGATTCTTAGCCTTGAGAATGTCCATGGATTCCCTCAAAACTCCAGCCATTTTGCGGGCTAAGACACCCATGGCCTGTTGACCAACTAGTTCAACCACATTGGCTTGACCAACCCCTTCTTCCTGTGCCGAAATATCATCCAGTATAGGCACCTCATGCCTTCTAGGCCTACCACGCCTACCACCACCACGTCTGCACAGTCCGCTCGAGCATTAGACAAAATAAGTTGTTCCGCTCGAGCGCAAGAAGTGATGCTCAAGGGTAGAATGCACACTCTCAGTAGTTTTGCA